GCAGCGTCTACCCCGTGATGGTGTCGCGCGAGTCCCAGAGGCTCGTCGGGTTTGTGCTCAGGAGAGACCTCGTCATCTCAATCGGTAAGAGGGGAGGTGCTACATGGGTAAACGATGTCATTAGGGGCCGTAAGTGGCACCGCTGGAGTTGACTTGAGGAGTTTGAACGCCCGGTAGTGATGGTGGGCACGGTTGTGAGGTGGGAGACTTCTCAGCAGCAAGAATTAAGCCTTCCTGAGTTCATGGATGACAGGAGGTGGAAAGCTTTCTTAGCTCTTAATGTCTCAAACCTTACTTCAGTTCATTATGGTCCATGTACTGAGTATTGGGTCACTTCTGAGGTGCTGCTGTCACCCTATAGGTGTTGATAGTGATGCTAAAGTCTTCCATCTCCCTTCACCACTGCATCCAGCTCGCCCCTTCGCTGGTTCACTTGTGCCTTGGTGGATGAGGTGGGTGGTGTGTGATCCTGGCACCACTTGGATGCAGTTTCCATCTGATGTGAGTTGGGCTCCTCTGGACACATCACCACGCTGCAATCTGGGGCATGTTTAGGTTCCTGTTGCTCTCAGGTGCTGTTTCCCAGTGTGAGACCCCAGTGGCAGTTCTGGTCGTGGTGTCCCTTGCTGCTGTGGGTGTGACGGTGTCTGCTCCTGGTGAAGCAGGGGAAATCTCTGTGTTGGGATGAGCAGGTCCTTAAAAATGGCACCTGCACTGAAGATGGGGCATAGGGGTACCCAGACTTGCACTTGTGGAAGTTGAGTCCCTCTGGTTTTATTTTTTTATGAATTATCATAGCCTGCAGCTATGAGTCAGCCCCGTGTGTTCCCCCTCTCTTTTAAGGTAAGTTTTTGGGGTCGGTTTTAGGATGAGCAATGCAATCTTTTGGAGCATGTGAATATTGCTCTCGTGCTTCCGATGTGTCTGACCAAACGCTTATGGCAATTTGGAATGAGATACAGAAAAAGGGCTCTGTCACATTATCATTACGTGCATTGCCCTCCTCCTGTACAACCGCTCTGCGGTGTGACCGCAGATTCCTGTGTTTCATTCTGACTCTCCAGAGACCCATTAAGTGCCATCTTTTCCCCAAGCTGTGCCCCGTAACGCACTGTTGTATGCCACAGGACGGGATTTAGCATTGGGTGGCCAGCTCTGAATACCCAGGCTGGAGTTTGGACTGCCGGGCTCCCCCCTTCCCAAAATGTAGCTATCAAGTGGGAGGTGCAGCGTGGCAGATACCCGGCCTGCCCGTGTTCAGAGTCCTTAAAGGCGGCCATGAAGTTCTTATGAGATAGGATGGACGCATCGCACCCTCCTTGGGTCATCGTTTGCTTTGGGAACAGCGCGGGTGAAGGGAAGGAATGGACCTTTAAGGCCACCCCAATGTGGGCAGAGAGAAACGGGTCTGCTCTGCAGTTTGGCAAAGGAGGACGATGTCGAATCCAGTGTTTGTCCTTGCAGAAAACGCCCGGAAGAAGCAGGACGGCATCGTGAGCACTTCGGTCATTTACTTCACCGACCACGCGCCCCCGCTGCCCCCGAGCTCCCCCTCCATGCTGAAGCTGCGGAGCATCCTGGACCTCAGTCCCTTCACGGTCACCGACCAAACGCCCATGGAGATCGTGGTGGACATCTTCCGCAAGCTGGGGCTCCGCCAGTGCCTGGTCACTCACAACGGGTAAGGGCAGCACCTTCCTAAGGCAGAGCCCCTGGGGGTCCTAGGGCTTCAAACCCAGCACCGGACAGGACAGCCAGGTTGATCTTTTCAGAGAAGGGGGTGTTAATAATTACTAATATTTGGCTTTTGGTTATAACCTCCTTGCCTTGTTCAACGTAAACCACTGAGAGCTTCTGCTGGGGCTTCTGAGCGCTGTAACTTGTGACCCCAAAAGGCACTTTAATTCAAAGGGAAGCTGTGCGAGGGCCAGGCTGCTTTTTGGGGTGCCAATTTACTCAAAAGGTGTTTGTGTTTCGCAGGAAGCTGCTGGGGATCATCACCAAGAAGGACGTACTGAAGCACATTGCACAGCTGGCAAACCAGGACCCGGACTCCATTCTCTTCAATTAAAGGCAGACTCGTGGGTGTTGTGTGGTCTGCACAAACCACAACTTTAGAGACCATCCTGGACACACTTTCCTGTTTTTATGGAGACCATGGAGCTGTTTTCAGCGTTTCTTTCCATGGAGCTGAAGAGGATAACTTTTTTTCTACCAGATAACCAATTGCACTACATAATCTGTGGAACGTAACCTCCTTTTGAGAAGGAAAAAAAAATCAAAAAGACTTTATTTACGTTGCTTTTGTGAAGTTGCATTGGAAAGGTTCCATGAAGGAGTAAAAGCAAAATGCGATAGAATTCTATCCTCTCTCACTTTATTTGAGCTCCTGTTCTGAGGCGGGAGCACAGGACGAGGTCCGTACCTGCACAAGCTCTGAAGAAGGATGATTTTGCACACAGCGTTCGGGTGGCGGCAGAAAGGCCCGGTTTTGTAACTCAGGGGCGGTGTATTCCCAATTAAAAAGGTAAAGCCAAAATAGGGGAGGGGAGGGGAAAAAAATGGCAGAGGATTCTTTGCTGAAAGCAGGGGAAAAAAAACCAAAAACTACGAGAAGCAAACCCCCAGAAGAGCAAAACTCCTTAAAACTGGGCCCAGTTCTGATTGGGAAGAAGCTGATGTTGATTCCTCTCCGTGAATGTATTCCACTACGCTGATGCTGCCTTGCCCAGGGCCCCGAGGAGGAGGCAGGAGGAGTTCCCAGGTGGATCCCCATCGTGACCCCTTTTTTTTTTCAGACACCTCAGCATTTCTGCTCCTTCATCTCCCTTGTTACCAAAACGGCCAAGCCTAAGTTATTGCCCCACCTTCACATTTCCCTGTAAACTCCGACCATGTCCGGTGCTGCACCACTGCCCTTTCCTTCATCAGCAGGGGCTGAGGACGTCCCTGCCCCGGGATGTTCACACGGGTGCGGGTGCTGCTCCCCTCCTCAGCCCCTGTCACCGATGTCCCACCTCCTGCCAACAACTATGCAATAAATGTCCCCGCAGCCACCTGCCTCCTTCCTCCTCTGCTCCTCAGGCCCTGTCTGTCCCAGATCACAGCAGATTATTTTCCTGTTAATAAAATTGTGACCCTTTACTGGAATTGGGAAGGGGTACGAGTGCTTTCGGAGGTTGGTGGTGCTCTGTGATGGAGGTGTTTTCATGGCCCTGGCTGAGGTTCTCTGGCAGCAGAGCTTCCTCTGCCTCTCCCCCCACTGAGGAGCAGCCAGAAATGACAGATTTGGGGCTCTGACCCCACTTTTTGATGGACCAAGCTCTGGCTGCGGGGCAGGCGTTGGGCTGCACGGCCTCAGCCCTGGGAACGGCTCCCCTGGTGCCACCGGGGCCAGGCTGGGGGGATGTGTGGTCCACGTTGGGCTGCGGTTTTGGGGAATGGGGGCCAGAGCTGGCTGGAAGTTGGGTCAACCTTAACCTTTCTCAGTTACAACACAAGTCCTAATGAAGCAGAAATCGGGTTATTTCTCTTCCAAAGCCATCCAACCTATGGCTGTTGCCGTGACCTGGCGCTGAGCTGATGTATTGAATTCTCATAACCCTGACTGGAGCCCAGATGTCACCAGTGGCTTGAGCACCCCCTGCTTAGAAATTAAACACTTTGCCTTTGTCTGTGAGGGTTTTGTGCAGCAGGAGGTGGTTGCTGCAGTGAAACAGAGACTTGAAATGCTTCGCGTTCTGCCGCAGCAGCAGCAGCTTTGCCTTTAAATGCATTTTTTTTGGGGAGGGTTGTCCTCCTCTCACCAGGTGAGTGCTCTCGGGGTCTCGTTTCTGCTCACCTTACAATGTACAGGAGAGCTTTGGCTTGAAAATTAAGGATCCTGCTTCAATTAAATCTGCAATGTGTGAGCGCCTGTTCCTGTTGCTGCAGAGAAGCCCATGGAGCTGGGCTTGAGAGGCTGGGTCCTGGGTGCAGGCCCAAACGTGGTGACTGTGGGTGAGTAAAGGAGAAACTGCAGTGTACGAGGCCTCTGTGCCTCCTGCTTGAGCAGATCTCTCCGTCCTGCTGCTTTTTTAATGTGGAAATGGGTGATTTTACTGCAAACGGGGTGCGTGCTTTAAGGGCCAGAGCTCTGGTGAGGTGGGAAAAGGAGCTTGGAGCCACGACTGTGGCTGCTGTGTGTGAAAACCTGTCCCCAGTAACACACACAAGTGGTGTCTGGGTAAGGGAAACACTCATCACACCTGGAAAATGCCATTCTACAGGGAAATACCCGTCTCTAAGCCGTATTTCTCCACGCAGGGACACTGAGAGCAGTGTTACCTGGTCGTCGTTACTGCTTTGGCTGCAGCAGGGATGCTCCGTGCCCATTTGGGTGGGGATGGATGGATGGGTGCGTGTAGAGCTCTGCACTGGGATTAAACCCCAAACTTCAGTGCTTGTTCTTGCACCACTGATCTACCTGGGAGTTAAAACCCAAAACTTTTCCCTTTATGATGGCTGATGTCACCAGATCAGAGCGTGCTGTGCGTTCAATCCATATCGTCTGTCACATCTTTAATCTTAATTTAAAAACCTCTGGTGTAAAGTTAAAAAAGGAAAGGTTAAACTGAAGGGAAGGATGAATGATGAATGTTATGTGCAAGAAAACACTACAAAATGGTTAATTCTCCATAGAATATTTTATTAGCTGAATATGTAATATACTGAGTATCTTGTTGCTAAAACTGAACTAAAATTCAAGTAGCTTTTAATTTTGTATTACTGCTCAGCTCTTGAATACTCACTCTACTGGTTACATTGAGGAAGAAAGATGCTTTAGTGAATGTTTAAAAATTAGGATTTAGTGAAAACTTGTCTGAAGATGTGGTACTTGACCCAGTAACTCTACCCAGGTATTTGCAGGTACTTGTTTGATGTTTGCCAATACCAAAAACCAGGATGTCCTCAGGGTACCCCAGGATCCAATGAGCTGTTCCTCACCGTGTCCACTCTTGTCCCAAGAGATGAGAGAAGCCAAACAAGTTCTCAACCTTTGATTCTATACAACGACGACCATTACACTCCAACCAGCAGGGACATCACAGCTGCAGCTCTGCATGGTGGTGCCTTGCCAAGAGAAACCCAGTAAGATCCAATTCATTCACCCTCAAATGGATATGTTGTTGTAGGCTGAATCCATGGGCTGAGGCCAATGGGATGAGCTTCAACAAGGCCAAGGGCCGGGTCCTGCCCTTGGGTGGCAATAACCCCATGGACGCTGCAGGGGACGAGTGGCTGGAAAGGACCTGGGGTGTTGGTGGCAGCAATGCCCATGAGCCAGCAATGTGCCCTTGAGCCAAGAAGGCCAACGCCATCCTGGGGTGGATGAGAAGGGGTGGTTGGAGGGCAGAGAGGTTCTCCTGCCCCTCTGCTCTGCCCTGCTCACACCACAGCTGCAATCTTGTGTCCAGTGCTGGGCTCTCAGTGCAAGGAGGACAGGAACTGCTTGAAAGAGTCC